AACCTTCCTTCCGAGGAGTGGCTGGTGGGTTTGAACCGCCAGCCTTCTGGTTAGCAGTCAAGTGCCTTAGCCACTATGCTACCAGAGCTCCTCAGTGTAGGGTGTGTTTTAAACCAGTTACCGGTGGTGGGCAAGGACAGATGCAGGGCCAGTTGAAGATCACAAAGGAACGAAATAACAGAAGCTGAAAAAGACAAGGACCTTCTGGAGCCAACACAGAGAGAAAGCCTTACCCTAGAGCCAGTCCCCCAAATTCAGACTTCTGGCCTTTTAAATTGTGAAAAAATAAATTTCTATTTGCTAATGCCACCCTCATGTGGTATTTCTTTTATAGCAGCACTAAGAAACTAAAACACTGGGAGTTTTCCATCTAAATATTTCCCCTTAGAGAAATACTGATATGTATTTCAATAAGGCACATGAAAGAATGCTCATGGCAGTATTGTTTTTAAAAGGAAATTTTGGGAAGATGTAAATGTTCATTAACACGGAAATGATCAAATAAATTGTAGTATATTCGCACTATGGTGTATTGTGCAGTAGGTTTAAAAGGCTGAGATAAACTTATATGGACTAAAATTTAAAAATATTCAAGGCACATTAAAAGGAAAAATGTCAGTGTATTTAATCCCATTTTTGTGAAAAAAACTTCTATGTATATACTTCTGTATATAAATGATAAACAAAAGATATGAAAAGAAAAACAGTAAATTGATGACTTTTTTTTTTTTTTTTAATTTAGCATGGAGATTAGAATTTGGGGATCAAAATAAACTGAAATTTTGCTTTTTCATTCTATTTACCTCTTTGAAGGTTTTTGAAGTCACCACTGCCCTCATGCCTTTGTACAACCCTTTTCACAAGAGTTAGAATTCAAAATATAACCAACCCCAAAGGCCAAACCCACTGCCACTGAGTTGGTTCTGACTCATAGCGACCCTATAGGACAGAGTAGAACTGCCCCAAAAGGATTCCAAGGCTGTAAATCTTTACAGAAGCAGACTGCTTCATCTTTCTCCCATGGAGCAGCAGGCGGGTTCAGACAGCCTACATTAGTAAACAGCCAAATGCTTTAACCACTGTACCCCCAGAACTCCTTCAAATGGTAAGTATTATCCAAGGACTTAATCACAGTTATCGTTAATATACCGCCAAAAGGAACTTAAAAAATCAGCTTCCTGAATTAGTGTATGTATGTTTTTGCTGTATATATTCTCACCACCAACAAAATCATTTTTTCAAAAATCTGTTTCCTTTTTACATTTAAAAGAGAAAACAGGGTGAACGCTCACAGTAGAAAAGGGAATGCTTATTTTTGAGAACTATTTGATGAAAATCTTAAACACTTACTCTGGCAATATATAAACAAAACTGACTCAATTGTTTCTAATCACTCAGTGGTATTTCTCAAGAATACTTGCCTAAAAGATCCATCACAAGAATTAAAATTATTTGTTGACCCTTCTTGTGGCTAAAACTCACCATTTTGCATTTGCAGGTATGAATATGAGCAAGAGTGAGATGGTGAAAGAAAGTACATTAAAACCATCTCGGAGGTCCCTGCCTTGCCTGGCCCAAAGCTGCACATACTCGCAGAGCCTGGGCCAGTCTACCTCACTCTTCCAATCAAATGAGAGTGAATCCCAGGCTCCTACTTCTTTCACATCAATCTCTGTTGACAAAGCAGCGCAATGTGAGTAACTCTGAATTTTCTTGTCAGTTTGTAGAGAGCAAATGTTTTCAAGTCTTCCTTCCTTCACTGATTTGACTAATATTTATAGAGCTCTTAAAGAAGCAAGCTGACATAGGATGTAGAACAAGCAACCTATGCCTGTCAGATAAAAGTTGATTGGTTTACCAGATGTGTTTTAATTTTTTTCCTTGCTTTGGTTGTAGCTAGTCCTATGTGTGCCTGGATTGAATACCTGCTGTTTACAGTGGAAGATAAACCACTAGCTCATTTGGCCACTGTTTGCATCTTTTTTATTGATGAATAGTATTCCTGGCAAGAACTTACAACCAGTATTTGAGTAGATTGGCTAATAATAATAATAATTCAGTTTTCTAAAAAAAAAAAACAGAGGCCAAAGACTTTAAATAATATTGACAATAAAACAGTGAAGATGTGGTTGCATGGAGATGTAGTTGGACAAGGGTTGGCAACAAAATGTTGGCACTCAAGCCTCAAGATAACACAAGGCCTGAAATTTAGGGAACCACCAACCAGATGCCACATATAAAGAGACATTGTGGCTGTCATTACACACTTTTTGACACACATCCGCACATCTCAGCCACACTAGTATGACTTTATTGTTTTTTTTATTAGCTGCCATCCAGCCCCTGGCTCATGGTGACCCCATGCACAGTAGGTTCAGACTCTCGTGGTGCAGAGGGCTTTCAATGGTTGTTTTTCAGAATTCGGTCACTGGCCCTTTCTTCCTAGTCTGTCTTCGTGTGCAAGCTCCACTGAAACCTGTTTGACATCATAGCTGTGCACAAGCCTCCACTGACAAAGGACAGCTGTGCTTAAGGTGCATTGGCTGGAAATGGAACCTGGGTCTCCCACATGAAAGACGAAAATTCTACCACTGAACCACCACTGCCCTCACGGCTTTGTACAACCCTTTTTCATAAGAGTTAAGATCAAAATATAACCAATCCCCAAAGCCAAACTCACCGCGATCGAGTTGGTTCTAACTCATAGTGACCCTATAGGACAAAGTAGAACTGCCACATAAGCTTTCCAAGGCTGTAAATCTCTACAGAGGCAGACTGCTTTGTCTTTCTCCCTTAGAGTGGCAGGGTTCAAACTGCCTACATTTAGTAAACAGCCAAATGCTTTTACCACTGTAACACCAGAATTCCTTCAAAATATGACCAGATTCCCTTTTATCCAGTGGTTGAAGTGTGTTTTTATTTGTCCATTCCTGTCTAGTTTTAGTGTTATGAAGATGTATTCTCTTAAGATTCTGTATGGTTGCTTCTTCCTTTGGATAACTTGAAAATATAAATGATTCTATTTTCGATAATATTATAAAATCACTAGCCATTACTAACAGGTTACAGCCATGTCCAAATAGGAAAGTGACTAACTATTCACTACAATGAATGTATTGATCATAATATACATGTTTCTTTTTCCTTGTTGAAAGTGGAATTTTAAATAACTAATTCCAACTCATTTTTTTAAAGATTTTCTTGGATGTTAGCCATCATTTATATATCAGTTTCCATGGTCAATCTTCTAACTGTTGTCATGTTTCTATTTCCTGAAACTTCCAGGGGTTTTATTCTTCTTTATTTATTTATTTTAGTTAATGCTGGGGAGAATAAAAATGACTCTGTGCTCAACTGCTCTTTCACGGACCTCAGTGATTTCTGCTTGGGTGAGCTGATTTCTAATATTTCCCTCCTTGTTTATTTCCTCTTCAAAAGTAAGCTGGAGTTGCCAAACTTAGAACTTTTTTTTTTTTTTTGGAGCTGGGAAACTTGATGTTTGGCCTTTAACATCTCATGGGTAAGTATAATATTCTGAGCTTCAAAATTTATTAAAGTTTCTTATACAGTTTATAATTCAAATAATATAAGATAATTTGTAATGGAAAACAATACTGTAACCTAACGCTTTTAACAATTTCTACTTTTGGTATTATGGAAATTTATTTTTATTTTCTATAAATAAGTATATTTTTACTACTTCTAGATTTATCAAATTTAAGCATTATCTGTTGATTTTCTATTATGCTAGATAAAGGTTTAGCACATTTGCAAAGCCTTTCTAGTTTTTATAGTTATATTTCTATTTTAAATTTAAATTTGTTGGTTAAAATTACAGTTTAAATAATATAATTATAGCTCTATACCAAGTTGTAATGTAGTATAGTGATATCTCTTGACTCCACATTTGGCAATTAAGATAATGTTTACCAAAGAACCAACTGATGTGATATTATTTCCTTTTTCAGTTCCAAGTTGTTATGACACCTATGCGTCTCTGTCTTGAATAGTTCTGATGTCAAAGTCAAATGCATTCTTCTCCCTCAAATGCCCCCCTAACATCAAATGCTCAAAATCATCCCCCATTATACTTATTTTACTGTGTATGCCTAGCCATTTGCTTTTTTTGTTCTCTTTTTTGTTGCAAGAAGAATAATATTTCTTCTTCCAAATATCCTCATTATGTTCCATGTTCTTGTTGATTGCACTCATTATCTTATTCTTTCTTTAAAAAATTCTTACTATCCAGTGACTTTTCATTAGATATTGAATTAATTTCATGGTATGATATCCTTCATCATCTTCTTCTTTAGGAAATTCATGCAAATTTCATACTATCCAGTGACTTTTCATTGGATACCAACTTAATTCCCCAGTTTCTTATATCCTACATATTCCTCATTCTCAGTTTTTACTCTTGTTTTTTCAGAGTATATCCTCAGCTATCTCAGAATATTGATTTCTGATGCAAGTTCTAAGATTGTATATATTTTTATTATGTGTATGTATATTAAGATGTGGTTAGTTCGCTGTTAAATTTGACTAGCATTTATTTAAGCATAAAAAATAGATTAAAAAACATTACTCAACATTTAGAGACTCTGATTCACTACATCTAGTAATAGCTGTTGCTGAATGAAACCTGATGTTTATTTGTTTATTATTCTTTTGTAAATGACTTTTTCACTCCTCTCTAAAAAATTTTATTATCTTCATTGTTTGTGTTATAAGATTACACAACATTATGTTTAGGTGTGTAAGCATGTATGTGTGTTTATTCATCCTTGCCCTTTCAATGTCTTACCTTTTTCTCTTTTTAACTCCTGTGATATCTAAATATTCCTAAAATTTCTGTGCTTTTGTTCCCTCCATACTCCCTTTCTGGAAGTCCAACTAAAAGTTAGATTCCCCCCACCCCCACCCCCTGTCTCTGTTCTGGAAGATTTCTTGACTTTTTCTATTACATGTCTTTTGGTTGTGTGTGTATGTGTATGTGTGTGTAGGGAGGTCAACTATATATGTATGTTTAATTTTCAAGACTGTTTTGTTCTCACAGTATAACTTTTTCAGAGCATCCAATTCTTATTTCATGAATATAATGTCTGCAATCACATTAATACTTGTGATTGTTTAAGTTTTCTTCTGATCCTTAAATTTTATCTGTTTTTCAAGGTTGTTTTGCCTGCTTAATTTTCTCTTTCAGACTGTCAGATCTCAAAAAAATCCTGTTGGTCTTTGTTTATGTATTCATATTTAAGAACAAAGAATAGGAAGACTGACTTAGAACTCAGAGTACATGGACAAGTCTTAGAAACTGTAAAACTGGCATGGCAGGGAGGCATCTCACCTCCAAATTCAGGAGAGGGAGGAAAGAGAATGAAGATTGGCAGCCCAAGGCTGATTGCTGTGAGGCAGGGGTCAAACATGCCTCCTCTCTCCAATCTTTTTAACAATTCTGATACCACCCATCCCTTGAACAGCATGCTCTACTTCTCTTCTGGGTTCAGTAGTTCATTGCATTGGCCACACAGACCTCACAGACCATATTCTCTGTTTTGAGGTTTTTTTAGGGAAATAACAGATTACAAGTCAGTCAGAAATGACTCAGGATACAGTTCTTCAAAGAGTTCTTCAATTAGGACGGGACAGCCTCTTCTTAGCCATGCCCATAGTCAGGCCTCTCCGTGGCTCTCGGCTCCTGGGCCCCTGGGCCCCTGGGTCCAGTCTCTGCCCTGCTTCAGCAAGTATTAGGAAGTTCTTTAGCACTGCCCATAAGTGTCCAGGGGCACTCCGATCTGCCAGGAAGCCTCCTGTCCTATGGCACTCAGGTTTCCCACTCTATGGGTATGACAGCCTAGTTCCTTGGACAGAGACACCCCACTCCACCAGGAAACCACCTGCTGGAAGGCACGCTGGGGATCGGCACACTATGCTTGGTTTCCTCACTCAGTGGAGCCCACTGTGCTGTCTTGTGCCAATATCCTGGTTTGGCTGCCACCATTTCTCTGCTACTTCTTCTCACAGTTTATGCCATCTCCATTGTTACAGCTCTGTTTCTATCTCCTCTCTCTAGGAGATATGCAGTGCAGGGACCCAAGGTCCAAATGATGTGATGGCCAAATTGACCAATCCCCTCATTAGGGTTCATAGACTTTATGTGTATGATCCCACCCCCACAAGGGCTTCATGCACCTTATTTGCATTATTATCAAGTTTTCCAATCCCCTTGGTGGGATACAAGCATCTTATTTGCATACTACCAATCATGGTAGAAGTAAAAAGACCATGTCAAGAAAGGCTATATCCATCACACCACAGAAAATAGAAGGCTTTGCTTTAGGATGAATGGCTTAGGAACCATTATATAGAAGCCATACACAATGACATAATGAGGAGGACCTTACCATAAAATGCCAATCCCCATATTAGCTTTCCTAGATTTTACTGCCTCACTGTGAACTTCTTTTGAGGAGAGGTTTTCAGGTTCTATTGTCAACGCTTAACTTGTCTTTAAGTTTTCACCTTCTAAACTCACCCCTGCCCTCCAGTTATCTGTCCTTTAGTCCAGACATCTCTAGGATTTATTTGGCTAAGGAGATTCCTTCCCCTCTCTGGCTTCTACATAAATTATAGGCTAAGCTACTCAACCATTCAATGTCCTTCCCTCAGAATTTTAAATTCCAGAATATTTTTGTAAGTTTTGCCTTTTAAAAATTATTTTATTTTCATGTTAGTAAAGTCTCAAGAGGAAAGGGCAACAAACTTGAAAGTTCATTCTGCCATCTTGACCTTTGCTTCCTTACTCTATAAACAAGGTGTGATGAAAAATGGATTTTGATGAAATATGGACTTTGATGAAATGATTTACTCTAAAGATGAAATGAGCAAAATTATAAAGCAAAAAGGCAAAACATTTATTTTAAGGACTCACTATGCAATTGCACTCTAAAAATCTATATTAAAGAAATGGTATCATAAATTTAAAAAGTAGGTTTTTTTTCATCACAGCTTTGCTTATAACAATTCTAAATCTTAGAAATGGAAGCAAATTGAATAATGAATAACAGCAGAGTAGTTAGAGATTTTTTAAAACATCTACATGTTGGAATATCACATCAAATAAAAATAATTTAATAAATTGTATTATAGCATATTTAATGGCATGTTGCTAAGTCAAAAGAAACAGCTAACAACAATAAACAGCATAAATATCAGTGTAGGCTTGCTCTAATTTTAGTTAAAGATGTGTTGGAAAAGAACTAGAAAGGAATATAACATTATGCTAACAGTGAGTATCTCTAGGTGGTGAGATCATATGTGGTTATTATATGTTACTTTGGAAGAGCAGGGAAGGGGATAAAAGCCCTGAGCCCCAGGCTTACAGGTGAGGAGAGACAACGCAGGGAGGCCAGAGTAGCAGGCCGGAAGAGCAGGAGAAAGGGATTAAAAGCCAGGAAGCGAGACAGAGGAACAGTCACCCAGGTGGGGGTGACACGAGAGGTCTCCAGCAGCAGGACAAATTTGTCTGTCAGTTTGTCCTACTGTGGTGACATATAGATGTGAGTTTTGGAGGCTGAGCCTCTGGTGTTTAAA